GTGTTTCTCCTGCGAGTGGCCAAGTGTTTCTGCTGGAGTCTCTGCGGTTTCCCTCGACGAAGACTCCTATTTTCCTAAAAACACCCTGATTGGTGATTTTTCCTTTTCTAGATCACCAATCAGTTTATTCCGGTGCATCGCAACCTCCCTCCATTTTGCCCATAGCGCGTTATCTTAGGGTGGGATAGACAACGACCGGAGAAAGTGAATCTCCGCTTTTCTAGGCTTTGTTAAAGTCAAGTGGCCCATCGACGTTGGCAAAAGTCGTGGGCCACTTTTCTATTTTCCGTTCGGAGACTTCAGGATTTATGGCAGGGTCTGGTCCTAGGGACTAAGCGTCGCAGGCAACGCAATAAACACTTGTGGTGTTTTGAGAAAGCGATATTTGCCTGCGACGGCGACCACTTGACTCGCTGCCATAAATCCGGCTACAGGATACGTCTTAACATTTGCTTTATATAAACTAATTCCGCTTTTAATCCAACACCAAAACATATCAACCTTTTCATATATCAAGCCAAGACAACCGTACCTACTCATATCCCAATCCAAAACCCAATACATATTCCTTTTTCCCAGCATTGTCGGAATGTAACGAATATCTAGATGAAACATATGTATGTGCAAACATACACAGCTCCAAGGCAGCAGACCACGGAATTTTCAAAGTATCCTTGCTATCGCTGCATGGGAACCTGCTTCCTGAAGACTGTAACACAAGGATTATTAAAGCCGAAATTGAAACCTAGAAGTACATAGGAAGCAACCAGTGGATCTACGTCTTGCAGAAACCTACCACTCTGACGGTCATCTGCAGAGATGGACAGGTTCACATGGAAGACGTTGTCCTGCAACAGTCAGGTGTACTACTACTGTAAGATGACTGCAAGGGTTACACGATGTTGCACTCCTTAGAGCCAACGTGCCGCAAAAACAAAATCATCAGCTATCATATTCTTCCAATTAGTATAATTGGAAGCGACTGCTGCATTACTTTTAAAGAAATGCTGCTACTACTTCGGATGTTGGAGTTTTCGCAAAAGGCTATGTTGCTTTACCAGAAGGCCGGATAATGGAGAAATTGTGCTACCGATGATAAAAAATTTCATCAACTGTACGTTCGACTCTGATGTCCGTACGGAATACCGGGAACAATGAAGGGACCGTGGTATACAACAGCCGAGAGGGTGTCCAAATTGTAAGGGATTCGTATTCAATAGAACAGAACGCCCAACAGAATGTATACGAAGCAAACGCGCTGTAAAACTATGTAAAAGTACCATACCATCATAACATCCTGTATATATACTCATATTTTGCGAAATAACGTAGTTTAAACTCCTATATTTTAATAAAATGTTTAGGGGGTCTTCTAGTGTGACGGCGGCTTTTTTAGGCCGTTTTTGCTAATTTATTACAGAAGTTCAGTAACAGT